TAAAACTTTAAAAAATTTTTTTTCTTGTGGCAAACTTATCTTTTAATTCCACTTTCTATGACCCTTATGAAGTTTGTACAAAAAATTTCAAATCTTTCTAAAGACTGTAATTAAAACTTTATTTCATTGAATTAGCTGGATTTCCTCTAGGGCTAGACCTTCTCATTGGTACTCACTGGTTATGCATTCATATTCAAAACTAACACATTGGGTGGTGCTGGCTCAGCAAGTTAAGCCACCGCTTGTGACACTAGCACCCTATGTCGGAGTAGCACTTCAAGTCCTCACTTTAGCCTGGACCAACTCTGGCCATTTTGGCCATTTGGGGAATGCACTAACAAGTAGAAGATCTCTCTGTGTCTGTGTCTCCCTCTGTTTCCAACTCTGCCATTCAAATAAATAAATAAATCTTTAGAGGGGGAAAAAAAACCCATGTTGGTTAACAAAAGGAATTGGTGTGAATTTCCTGTTTCAGCACATGGATTGATTGTCCAACATACTTTGCAAAGAAGTTTCTCAACTTACATGGATGGGGTATATTGAGTGGAAGGCAAGAGAAACGAGGCCTCCAGGAAAAAACTAGGAGCCCAAACTCTCTCTTCTCCCAGTAAAATAGGAAGTGCATTGCTTTGGGAGAGTAGAGTTTCTTTTTTAAGATTTACTTACTTACTTACTTTTTATTTGAAAAGCAGACTAAAAGGGAAAGAGAGAGGGAGGGACAGAGAATCGTCCATCTGTGGTTCACTCCCCAAATGACCACAATAGCCAGGGCTGGCCCAGGTTGAAGCCAGTAGCCAGAAACTCCATCTGGGTCTTCCACATGGGTGGCAGGGACCCCAGTACTTGGATCATCACCTGTTACCTCCCAGGCACACTGGTAGGAACTGGTTTGGAAGTGGAGAAGTTGGGGTTCAAAACAGCTCTCCGATATGGGTATAATTGTTAATTTCCCCTTGAGAAAAAGTTGATTCTTCTTCCTCTAGCCATGACTTGAAATATCTCACTATGTCCCATAAGTATGTACAATGATTGCAGGATAATCTAACTATTATAAAGTCCTTGTGGAATGCAAAAATTGGAATTTTTCATAAATAGCACAGAGTGGGAGTTTTATTTTTAATCCACCTTCACAATGCTTGTTATTAAATCACTCATTCCATTTGTTTAAATTACTAACTTAATTTCACTTATGTCATCCTATTTTCCCATAGACCCTGATTCATCTTATATTCTTAACTTCCTCAGAATTAATTGGTAGGGTTTTCACTTTTCATTCATGTCTATTTTTATGATTGGGCAATATCTTGGAATCCATTCTATTTCTGTCTTACGTAATCCGTTTCCATCGAGGGAGTTGTAGTCAAGTGTTTACTTTCCAGCAAATTTTCCTGAGACTTTTAGCTTTTGGGTTTCTTGAAGGGGAAATCAAGCTTAGAGTTCTCATGAGAATCAGCTAGGAGAGGGGTAGAAGGGTCTCCCGAGGAGGAATGGGTCAGGTGTTCCCGACGCTGCTACAGTCCACACCTGTTCCCTGTGGGGTCTCTCCTGGCGCTCCTATGGGCTGACCCCACCACCACTCTGGCTTGTTCTTGTTTGTTTGACTCTTTCCTCTTGTGTTGGGCATGTGTCTCCATGCTCAGAATTATTTTTGAGAAAGGTCCTATCTACTTCCTATTTTCCAGAATCTCAACTGGATTCCTGGTTTGCTCATGGCATTTGGTCCTGGTCTCAGTGCTAGCATAGATTTATAGCCACTTGGATAGCATTTTAAAAATTACTTGTTCATCTATTTCAGAGGCAGAGAATAGAGAAATAGATGTACCCATCCCCACTGCCAGTCCCCTACCCCAGCTCCCATCCACCGATTTCACTTCCCAAATGCCCACAGCAGCCAAGACTAGGCTGAGCTGAAGCGGAGAGCTGGGAACTCAATCCAGGTTTCCAGGTGCATTGCAGGAACACGATTATTGGAGAAGAGGCTGGAGTCTGAAGCTGAAGGTGCATGTTGAACCCAGGCTCTCTGATATGGGACACAGGCATCTTAACAGCATCTTGAATGCTAGGCTAAATGCCCACCCTGTTGTGATAGCTTTGTGATTACTAAGTGGAGATTCTAAAAGGAAGGATGAAGTACGTTAGCGTGGTCTGCTACCCGAAAAAGTACACTTTTGGAACTGTCCAAATGTAGACATAAATCATCTTTCTGATGTTTAAGCTTCTCAACAATCAGAAAGCTTTCATTTTATAATACTAAGTTCAACAGGTCAGTAATTCAGCAAAATGATGGCCAACCTTTGAAAAGATTTGGATTGAAAATCATTTTTTGGTTAATTTATACGCTCTTTTCTCTGAGTTTATATAACATTTTTAGCACTGACCTAAAGCAGTAAGAGTTAGTAGCCAATTCACACACACACACACACACACACACGTATATACTCAAATAAACACCCCACAAACATGAACACACACGTACACACATGTACATAAGCACACCTGCACACATACTTGTGCACATGTACATATATGTACACAATACACACATGTACATATACACACATATACATATACACATATACATACACACATATAGATACACACACACTCAAACTTTTTGTGTTTGGTTTCTCTGAAGTTCAGTCTTTCTCTGCTTCCTAATGTTTATCCTAGAGTCAGGCTTCTAAAGCAAAACAGCACAGGAAATGCTTGTGGGATCAGGTCTCCAGCACTTTCAAATGTGCAGAAAATGCTTAGGTTTTTAGGTAGGGGTATTATCTTTTTATAAATGTGCTTGCCTTTGCAGGCAAGAGTTATTTGAAAAAATAAATAAATAAAAACAAACCCATTCTCCCAACTGAAACCTTCCCTGGACCATGAAACGCCAGAGGGTTTTGCCCACACTGGGGAACTGCCACATCATGTTGCACACAACATGGGTCTGTTCTCACAAAATCAAAATTGCCCTATGCACACTTCTTATGACAGGCAATAAAAATGTGCAAAATGCACAGCAAAGCCACAGTACATAGTTTCGGAAAACAATTCTATCTCACAATGGGGACAGACGGAGGCAACCTTCTCGTTAGTCGACATGGTGAGATGGAAATCTGTGTCTTCAGGATAGAGATCCCTGAATTCAAACCCCATGGGTCACTTCAGAAATATCTTTAAACATTTAGATTTCTTTGACATACGGAAAGACACAGAACACCCGTCTGCTGGCTCATTCCCCAAATAACCTGCAATAGTTGGGAATGGGCCTGGCCAAAACTGAAATGAGGTCTCCTACAAAGGTGTCAGGGACCCAATTCCGTGAGCTATCACCTGCTGCCTTCCAGGGTGCACACTGGTAGGTAGCTGGAACCCAGAGCAGAGCTGGGATGTGAATCCTGGCACTCTGATGTGGGATATGGATATCCCAACAAGCATCTTATCTCCGAGGCCAACACCCACCCTCAACCCATCTCTTTTTAGCTATGTGACCTTGGGCAAGTTATTAACCTCAAGCTTTTCTTTTCTTCATGGGTAAAACTAAGAACATAATGCGACCTCATACAGCTATTGTGAGGATTTTGTGAATAATGTATGTGAAGACACTGGTCCTCAGTAGACACTGAATTACTGTTTCCTTCGCCCTTCTTTCCAACAAAAACTCCAAGGTGACAGAAGGTACATTTATTCACCTACTATACAGGGCACTTCAAAAAGTTTGTGCAAGTGGAATTAAAGAATAAGTTTATTTTGGTACAAAACAACTCTGAAATTCATGCATAGGAAAAGAATTCAAAAAGGTTCATACAAAAAACTGTGAATTTCATGTTTTTTTGCATCAAAACAAACATATCAATTCCCTTTTTCCACGATCTTTTTGAAGTACGCTTGTATCTTCTCTTGACCACGAATGCTTTCAATTCAAATGAGGAGAGACAGTGAGGAAAGCACCCGCCACTGTTCAGAATGTTCTAGTCTCTGGCAAATGACGCTGATGCCTGCCCATGATGTGGAGTTAACTAAGCATTTCTTCTGATTCCTTTTCCTACTAATACTTTTTTTTTTTTCAGATTTCATTTTCCTTGGTATTTTGCTTCCACTCTGGTGCCTGTGCACACAGCAAATCGCAACAGAAAGAAGGGTAATCAAGGGACACTGGAAAGCATCTCTGTGCCATCATTGCCTGCACTGACCTCCAGCTGCACATGACAATTCTGGGGCTTCCCAATGCAGTCATGTGGGCATCCTTCTTCCCCAATCTTTTTGCATCATGGATGCCCAGTGGGGAGCCTCTGTGTCACAGACACATCGCCTGGCTCAGGGTGGCCTTCATCTTCAAACACAGACTTGGAAGTGCCCAGGGCTGCTCTCAGCTCACTGGCGGCTCATGAGACCAACAAAATCCACTCTTCGTGAGTGGGCTTTGTAGGACAATGAGCAGGGTAGCTAATGTACTTTGAAAGCTCAAGACAACATTAATAGTAGTGCCAACTACTACTTCATGGAATGCAAACATTCCCTCTCTTTGACCACAAAGCCCATCTACTCAATGAGAAAATTCCTTCTTGGTCTTGTCTATTTCTGGAAGAGGGCATACACATACCAAGCCAGCTGTTAACTTTTCTTCATGGATTCCAAGGCCATTTATCTTGAGGTCTTCTGATTGATTGGTTTTCATTGCCTACTCATTTTCTTTTAGACAACTCATTATTTGCCTTAAAAATTTTTTCCCCTCTACATAGACTAGGACCCAACCATAAAAAAACTTAATGTTTCTTTTTCCTAGGAGCACTTTAAGACATAATATTTTTTTGACCCTCATTCCCTGAATAGGAGCACACAAAATCACTATGCAGCTTTCGCATTCACTTGGGTGGTACTTAAACAAATGGCCTCCTTTTTCCCCACTTGATTTTTAAAGTGAATTTCTTAAACCCTACTCTTCCCTCCTCTGCCCTCGGATTTCCCCCTTCTCCCATAGGAAGCTGTAGAAGAAAAGCATTTCTTACTTGGATTATTGTGTCCGGAGGATAAAAGCTGAGAGTCCTAAAAGAACAAGAAATACCAATTAATTATCTTATTTCGATGTTCCAAACCCAAGTTGAACACGGGATACATACTGATCATTCAGAATCAATTTGCTGCTCATAATCTCAGGCAGCTACTGTCTTGAGAAACATTTACACAAATGTGCTCGTTAAGAAGATCTCAGGACAGAGTTCACGGTCACTTTCAACTTTTTATTATTGCCTTGTTTTGTGTTGAGATAAAGCACATGTAACATCAGCTTAGCCACTTTAAAGTGAACAATTCAGTGCCATTTAGTATATTCATAAGGTTGGACAACGACCACCTCCACTTAGTTTTACAACATTCCCATCACTCCAAAGTAAAACTCATTACCCACTAAGCAGTGTTGCTCCCTTCACCACTCTCCTCTGCCCTCTTCTCCTCCCGTAACCACCAATTTCCATCCGTCTCAACAGAACTTTTGTATCGTATATTTCATACACACAGAATCATACAGCATGTGACCTTTTCACTCAGCATGTTTCGGAGTTCACCCACGTGGCAGTTAGCAGTAGTTCATTCCTTTTAATGGCTGCATAATATCCCACTGTGTGTATAAGCAACCACCTACGTGTGCACCTGCTGTTGGGCAGTTGTGCAGTTTCCACCTTTTGGATCCTGTGAACAGCGCTGCTGCAAACACGCATGCACAGGTGCTTGTTTGAGCTGTGTTTCAGGGACTGTAGCAAGTCTATGCTAACCCATCTGAGGAACCATGTCGCGTTCCTACCAACGATGCATGAGGGGCCCAATATTTCCACATCCTTACCAATGCATGTTATTTTCCATTAAAAATAATTACAGACATCCTTGTGGGTGTCTCATTGTGGTTCTGATTTGTATTTCCCTAATAACTAATGATATCAAGTATCTTTTCATGTGTTTGGTGGTCATTTCTTTTTTTTTTTTTTTAATTTATTTGACAGGTAGAGTTAGTGAGAGAGACAGAGAGAAAGGTCTTCCTTCCATTGGTTCACCCCCTAAATGGCTGCTACAGCTGGTGCTGTGCCGATCAAAAGCCAGGAGCCAGGTGCTTCTTTCTGGTCTCCCATGCGGGTGCAGGAGTCCAATCACTTGGACCATCCTCCACTGCCCTCCAAGGCCACAGCAGAGAGCTGGACTGGAAAAGGAGCAACCGGGACTAGAACCTGGCACCCATATGGGATGTCAGCGCTGCAGGCAGAGGATTAACCAAGTGAGACACAGTGCTGGCCCCTGGTGGTCATTTCTACATCCTTTTTTTTTGAGGGGGGGGGTAGAAATACGCATTGGATTACTTTACCATTAAAAAATTGTTGGTCGTTTTGTTGTTGAGTTGAAAGAGTTGTTTATATATCTGGATACTATGCCCTTACAGATCGGTGATGTGGAAATATTTATGCCATTATGTTTTACTGATGTTTTTTGATGCAAAAACATTTTAAATTTGATACAGTTTCATTTATGCAATTTTTCTTTTGTTGCTCATGATTTTGGTGTCCTAGCTAAGAACCCACTGCCAAATCCAAGGTCATAAATATTTAACTCTGTTTTCTTCTAGGAGGTTTATGGTTTTAGTTGTATTTAAGTCACTGATTCACATATTACTGACTTTTAAAAAAGATGAATTGATTTATTTAGAAAGAGAGAGAGAGAGAGAAGAACTCTCTCCTGGCCTTCAACTTGGGTCATCATCCACTGCCTTCCCAGGCATTTGAGTAGGAAGCTAGACTTTTGGAAGCAGAGTAGCCAGGACTCAAACCAGCCCTCAGACATGAGATGTGGGTGTCCCAAAAGACAGCTTAGCCTGCTGTGTCACAATGTTCACCACATATTATTTTCTTGTTTTTATCATTTTTTTGTTTAAAAATGTTTTCTTCTCACCTACTACTGACTTTTAATCTAACTCACTTCTCTTTGGAGGTACCTTTACTCCCGGTGCACCTCTGTGGCTGAGGCACCGTCTCACCAAACACTCTATCGAACAACTGCTGTGAATCTCACCCCGCTGATGAGAAGACTACTACAGACATATCTGCAATGGCATAAAGCCTGTGCTGCACAGTATTTTTAGTTTAATTACTACATCGGTAAATAGAAATTGAACCTGACTTTATTTGCATTAAAACAAACTTGAGAAATTACATTCTCTTCCTTTGCAAAATTATTTATCATGAAATAGGAGGGAGAGTTATAAAAGAATGAATTGAGCTGGTGGAAATGTAAAAAGAAGGAAATAGCAGCACTTAAAATCCAGGAAACCTCCTTTATAGTTCTGGTGTGTAGAACAAAAATCCAATGAAATGAGCTTTACTTCTATCACATGGCTTAACATACGTTACCTGAATTTTGCTCCACAAACATAGTTGTTATGGGCCAAAGGATGTTATTTAATGTGCCTTGTGGCATGTTCAAATACAAGTAATGATGTCTGGTTTAAAAATGCTTCCATTGGAAAAGTATAAAATCCAGGCTGGTGGGTAGGGGTTGGGTAGGGCAAGTGGGAGGGAAGGGATTCCCACCCAATAAAGCAGACTGAGTCCTACAGAGATGTCTAATAAATCTCTTCAATGTTGGTCTAAAGAAAAAGAAAACGTTCAAAGCTCACTCTGAGATTCAGCTTTTGGAAATAGTTACATGAAGATGACATATTGTTCCTGCAATGGTGGGCTACAATATTACAAAAATGACTTTGATCTATTTTGAATGGATACTGATACAAAGAGTATGTCCACAGTAAAACCCTCAAACAGACCTAATTTCACTTAATTAGTTTTAATTGTGGACCTGAAAAACATCTTGGGATGCATTTACTTAATGCCTCTATGCTGTCTCAGATGTTGGCCCTTTGGATGCATCGAGTCCTATAGAAGGGAAGACTCACTTGCCAACAAACTGACAGGAATGGCAACTGAGACAGTGACCAGTATTATGCTGATTCTTCAAAACAAGCAGCAACAGTGGGGGTTTTTTCCTAAGAGCCTGCTGACACAAAGGGGAAATGGAACTTTAAAATTTCTTAATGCATCCTAAAAACCTGGATGATGACTGCTGACTGTACATTTACAGCAGAGAGCCAAAGGTGAGCTGACATACAACCTGCAGTATGATTAGACACTGTAAGACCACGTATTTCATAGACAGCAAGCTTCCAATTTTAACTGAAACACCCATGTCATTAGAGATTCTTAAGATTTCTGTTTTGTGCAGGAAGGGAAGATAGGAAGAGAATGGTTACAGCAGTTATTGCAATATATACATTATATATATTATATAACACATATACTAATATTATAGATGATGTATTATTATATAATATGATATATAATAGTATAATTATTATATATAATATATGTGTGTATATATACATATATACATATATATAATATAAAATATCACTGTGCCTGCAATGTAATCTTGGGTTTCCAGCTAATGTCTCTGGGTGGTGCCCAGAATGGACAAATGCCAGCTCAGGATGATTCACTGTAACCTCACTCTGAAGGAAAATGCTGTCCCATCATCATTCCTACTGAAACGTGGCCAGACCTTTGCCAGTCTGTTCTTGGAGGCATCAATTACCTGATGAGCCTGCGTCCCAGTTCCAAACCACAGGACACCATCCTCACTGATAAGGTATCTGCTGGCCAAACCTGGGTCCATTGGCTGCTACATCTCGGAGTCCTGCCATACCCAAGCAATACAGCAAAGAGGAAAAGAGGACTACCAGCACCTGTGCCATGGCCCCACGGGCACTGCCCAAACCCCACCCACTTCCATGCAGATGCAGCTGCAGCTGCAGGAGTTGCCCAGGCCAGAAATGGCCCATATGGCTGCAGGCTGGGTGCCTGTGATAAATCACCCACTCCCATCATGCACCTGAATCTGGCATTCCTATCACGCATTTTGCACATGGCGCTTTTGAGCTTGCCAAAAAAGGGGTATAGAAATGAATGGTACTCAAGTCCTGCCCCAAACTCCGCCTCTTTTGAATATTCAATTCAGCTTTGCCCCAGGCACCACACCCTAGGTGTAAAAGGAAGACCTCAAGCTTAGCTAATTGCATTACTCTCCCATGAGGTTGCCTGGACTCCCTCCTGAGCATATGCTTTCTATTGGCCTTTGAATAAATCTTGCTTTCCTGTTCACTTCTATGTCCCCTCCTTGAATTCTTTCTAACATGGAGGGAGATAAGAACCAAGGCCCACCGTAGTCAGGGGCTATCCTGAAATCCAAGGAGCTACAAATCTCTGCTCCCCAGTGGGAGGCTCCCACAGAGGATGTGGGTCCTTCATTCTTCCCAGAACCAGAGCCACGCTGGGCTCACAGGAGAAGGAGACAAAGGCTCCATCCTCAGAAGGGCCCAAGCACGGAGGTCCTTTCTGGTGTCATAGCTCTCACCCAGCCCCCTCTCCTGACACCCTCATGCCTATGGCTTCTGTCCCAAAGGCCTCCTGTTCCCCTGCCAAGGGCTTCTGTAAGTAGCCCCTTCGGACATGTCCATTTCGGACTCCTCTGGGAGTAGCTCACGAGGCTGGCAAGGTTCCCTACGAGGCTCTTCATGGGTTCCAGAAGGTTCCACCAAGTCACGAGTGGTAGCAACACGTGTACAAGTTATTATAACCTAGGGCTGAAAGTGAGGTCATGACCAGCGCAGGAGTGCTCCGTGCCTGTGCGTCCTGTCCTCGTCCCTTGGCTTGGAATGCACTGTTCTCTGCTTGGCAAACTCCTTTCCCTTCAGGGCTCTGCACAAGGGAGCACCACAAGGGCTACTTGTTCTTGGGAATCTTCTGCAGTCTCAGGAAGATTTAGCTGTGTCTACATCTTCATGCACTGTGTCACAGCTCCCACCATCCATGTTTTCAACCATGGCTTATTTTTATTGGTTCCTTAAAGAAAAGCTTTATTGATGTATAAATGACAGAACATAAACTGTGCATCTCTGAAGTAAATAACTCAATATTATATATCATAAAAAGAATGCTACTCTTTTTAGCATC